TTTAAAGTCAATTAACGCCTAAAGCGGAATGGAAATTCAGCTTGGAAGTGGGCACCTCACACTCGGAGCCACTGGAAATCCCTCGCCCTCCTGCTTCAGCGCAGACCGAGGTTTACTCAAATGATCAGCAGTGTATCAAGGTCGCGCCGCTATGCCCTTGTTAGTCTTATCCCGGGCGAGTCGAGAATCGGGAGTCACGCTTATCCCTCGACCCGTGGAAGGGGAGGCCGAGGGGAAGGGCCGTCCTGCATATAATCTCCTGCGGCTCCGAGATTCGGCAGTCGGGTCCGCTGCGACGACCACGGTGAGGAACGCGGCGAATGAAAGGGTTTTCAGGACGGAACTTTTTGCTTCGCTCACTGTCCGGCGCCAAGTCTTGGCTAATTCAGCGCTGATATTTCCTTGATTTATGCCTGCATTCATTTTTCATTAAATAATTAATGAGATTTTGATAGTTCAGTTTCATTCCAAGCTTTAACTGGAGAATACCTGGGTGTCTCCTGCAGATGCGGTTCCTTGCTTTCGTCCTCGTCCTGGCTCTCGCCGTCGCCTTCGTCGGCGCCAAGTCCTTGGCCTGCTGTGGCGGCGGAGGTCACCACGGCGGTCACGGAGGAGGTAACGGAGGTCACCATGGAGGTCATGGCGGTGGAGGCTTAGGCGGAGGCTTCGGAGGCGGCGGAGGATTGGGAGGTGAGTGCACACTGTAAAGGCTTCTTTGATGAAGGCGTCATAACAGGACACACGTCAGCATCATTCAGTGTGATATATTTTCCATCTCACTGAAACGAATATCACTTGCTCCAGTTTCAAATGTAAAACTTTACGATGATTTGCAGGCGGTGGAGGCTTCGGAGGAGGATTCGGAGGATGTGAGTATTGGCAAGAGCGTTGGCTGATTCGTCCAGGAACAGCTGAATCATTCGTAGAGCGATAATATAGATATGATAATGATATATCATGATGATATCAGTATTTTCTGCTGTCGTTATTACTAATTTTATCGTTATTTTCATCATTCCTTTAATGTTAATTACATCACATAATTATTAGAATAATTTAGTATTCTCTTCCATGTCAACAATTTCCATTATCACCGTCACTAGCTATTCCTAATATTATTGCCATTATTCTCGTTTTAATAATATTTTATCCGAATTTCAGAGAACTTGAGGACTTCTCGGAGAAATTACACGCACATCACATGACCAACGCAATTACAGTGTCAAAATTACCACTTGTCATAGCATGTTGTTAGTCTCTTTTCCCCAAGTGTACACCTACTCTTTCTTGCTTTTTTCATTTGTTTTCTATCCTTTTTCTTATTATTGGAAATAAAGAAATATAAAACCAAAGTGAGTTGTATTAATTCAATGTATTTATTCCGTAGGAAGATAATGTCTATTAAAAACAATGTATATTAAAACAGTTGAAAACAGTACTGACTCCTACAGAAATATACAAAATAGATATTCATTAACGAAATGATAATACATAACTACATAAGCTTCTACTAACCCCCGTTGGATATCAAAATATTATCAAAATAGGATAACTTGGGATTACATGGAGATCGATATTAGGCCAAAGCATCTCTTCTTGGCACTCTGGCGCTGAGGTGCCTCTCTGGTCTCACTGGATACCCCTAACGCTGGGCACTGAATTGGGACAAGTTATAAGGTGCCTTGATGTACATCTTATTCACCCGAAAAGGATTAGCTTTCGGAATGTGTGTATGTAACACACACGAACACACACACATGTGTATATATGTGTATATGTGTGTGTGTGTATGTATATATATATATATATATATATATATATATATATATATATATATATATATATATATATATGTGTGTGTGTGTGTGTGTGTGTGTGTGTGTGTGTGTGTGTGTGTGTGTGTGTGTGTGTGTGTGTGTGTGTGTGTGTGTGTGTGTGTGTGTGTGTGTGTGTGTGTGTGTGTGTGGTGTGTGTGTGTGTGTGTGTGTGTGTGTGTATGTGTGTGTGTGTGTGTATCTGTACCCACACAGACACAGACACACTCACCACTCACTCACACACACACACACGCTATATATATATATATATATATATATATATATATATATATATATATATATATATATATATATATATATATATATATATATATAAATATTGATAGATTGATATATATATATATATATATATATATATATATATATATATATATATAATATATTATATATATTCTGTGTGTGTGTGTGTGTGTGTGTGTGTTGTAACCCAGATTTATCTATTTCATATTACAGAAATATGTATGATAACATTATTCTATGTATCTATTTATATTTCGTCCTTCCCTTTCGTAAGAGCTATGTATTACAGTGACATTTCTTTCTTTAGTACCGATCGTCACTGTGACTTATAACGTTCCTTAAATCACAGGTAAACTCCTTGTGGGGAACTAAGGAGCAACCCCTTTCTCCCAGGAGGGCCAGCTTCACTCATTAGTTATTCTTCTCTCTCTTGTGACACCCAAAGGTCACTAGGAATTCTCTTGAAAGGGCCAATCTCTTGGGCTACTCTCTTTTCTTTCTCTTTCTCTTTCTCTTCTCTCGCTTCTCTCCATCTATCTATCTATCTATCTCTTCTTCCTTTCTCTTTCTCTTTCCCTTTCTCTTTCTCTCTCTCTCTCTCTCTCTTCTCTCTCTCTCTCTCTCTCTCTCTCTCTCTTTCTCTCTCTTCTCTCTCTCTCTCTTCTCTCCTCTCTCTCTCCTCTCTCTCTCTCTCTCTCTCTCTCTTCTCTCTCTCTCTCTCTCTCTCGCTTCTCTTCTTTCTCTCTTTCTGTGTGTGTGTGTGCGTGTGTATGTTCTTTTGAAAATGAAAAAAATATATACATCTGTCTTAGAAACTTTGTCAAATGCTATTCTGTTAAGTTCTTTATTTATAACAGAAGGAGAGAGGAACCAAACTGACCTAAGAATAAAAACTGCAAAATGCTTTTCTTTGGAATATGTACACGCCGGTAGTGATTAATTAATACAAATAAAAGCACATAGTGATCATGAACTATGCATATCCGAGACTTTGGCAGGAAAATTCGTGACTGGTTGTGGTTTCAAAAATGTTCTCCAGGCAATAACAATCCGTTTAATTACGTTTTCATAACTGTTTCGTTTTGGAAACTTAACCAGAGGTGTTCACTCATCAAACGACTTCCCTTCAGCAACCTCATCTCCCGTTGTATGATACTCTTTTTGATTACTGAAGTTTGTTTTCCATTTTTTTCCCGGTCATTTTCAAGTCGCTTTCCTGTCCTCCGTTTTGAGGTCACTGGGATAGCATCTTGCAAATCCTGGAAGCTTATGAAATTAAGATTAATTATCAGATTATCAGATTCAGGATTTTCATGGCATGATAGTACGATTCTGTCTTCTCGCCAATCTTCGAACAAAGTATCGGGTGAGTGTAGAGTATTAAGGTTATGA